TGTAAACGTAAACTCCACTCATATCATTGTGGAAAAATTCTACTACCAGTCCTTCATCACCTTAAACGAACTGGGGTGAATACATCTTATATTACCGATTTACTGGTAGTCTCGAAACTCTACCTAAATGCAAAGAATTTAAATATACTAGCTGCTCATTTTCAAAAATCTTTTTCATTATTCACCCAGTGAAAACAACACATGATACCAGAAAAATTTAAGTTGCGAGAACAAACAGAATATGTTGTGCGGGTCAGGGAGGCTTAGCCAAAATATTTTACATAAATTCACCTAAAATATTTTTGATAGCCTCTTAATTGCTCCTGCACTAATGTTCCACAATTTTCTAGTTATGGTGACGTTGGGTCCATATAAGACGTACTATCTTCTATAACAAGGTGCTAGATTATATATTACAATCTAAATTACAGAACATTGAAGAAGCTAAACCAGGAACTTAGAATGACTCTATACTTTCTCCCTGATATTGAATATGAGGTCCATCATGTGTTTTGGACAATAATATATTTCTCCCAGAGAAAAAAGGTAGACCAATTCGAGAAAGCCAATTGTTAAGATGAGTGACTTTACTATATACAAGAGGGCTTCTACAGTTGAGAGCTTTTTAAGCAAAAGCAAGTTTGGCAGATGGTAATGACTAACGACATAAAAATGCTCTCTAAAAAACTGTTTTCTAAATAATCGATGTCTCATATTTTGGCAAAAAAATGCATTTTTAATTAGCATAAACCAATAGTTAACCAATCTGATGTGAGTAATTCCTCCCGGGGCAAAGCACTTAAAAGATCTCATTACTTAACAAATTTTTAACCTCCATTTTCTCCTTCGCCAATAGTGTTTCAGCTATAAACTCATAGTTAATGCGCCTTGATTATCCAAGAAATTACGAGGTTTTCCAATAGCCAAAATGCTCATAAAGCCTGGGATTTCTTAGCATATTTTTAAAGCTTTTAGCAAGACAGCCATTTTGCCTTAATCTTGATGTCTTGTGAGGAATTGTGCAGAGTATTATGGTTGAATGGCCTTACTGAGGCTATGCTACAACTGAAATGGCCTTGTGATGAAGTAGCTTGACCGACACATTATTTGAATACAACAATCTCCGTTTATTCCAACTTGATGCAAACCAATAATACATTAATTAATTGAGCGGGGAGTCTATTATGAGTGATTGATGAATATTCTACGAACATCGATGCGTCCTTCTTTCAGAGTAGAAGGAAATTATAGTATACGGTTTTACAACTTGGCTTAAATACGGGCCTGTTAGGCTTTGATGAAATAACCAATTATTTTCCAAAATCTATTTAGCCAGCTCAATAATAAACGGTACAATTGCAAAATTTATCCATCAGTAGTTGTGTAATTTAACAAAATTTGAAAATACTTATTCTTTGTCGAGTAGTCAATTGTTTCATTATTTCATTATTATCATCAATACTACTATTTTGCGTCTGCATTGGCTGTCAATGGGGGGCAAATAGGTGCCTATAGCTACAAAAATGAGAAGGAAAGTCAAAGGATTTGTGTTATAGGCTTAGAAGAAACCGAAACTGTTGATTTCACTTTCCAAATATGTCGGATACTTGTGATGAGATGTTCGGCCTCGCCTACAGCCTAACGCCTAATGAGCCAGTCGTCTGGTAAGTAAGTGGAAGTTCTGCAAAGGCCTGATACCTGAATAATGAGGGATAGACACAAGTCTCAATTAGCTATAACATACTAGATTCATGTCTAGTTGAAGATGGCATCGTCGTCATAGGTAGAAGTGCTTGCTTTATTTTGTACTGAAACCGAAATTCATTGTTCATGATCCTCACATCCCAATTTACATTTGCTTGCTTCCTGTTGATCCTAGCCCCGTCACTATCAAACGAGACTGGCATGCGAGACTTTTGATGCACAAGTATGGCATCCAGAGACGACGATGCTTTCATCGCTCTCACCTCCAGTCCTGTTAGCATAGTTTCAGTGGACTGTCAGAGGCCTGATCCCGTGCTGCGCTACTTATCTTCCTGGCCCACGGAGTCGGATCAGCATGAGTCGGTCCGTCCGTCGGTCTTTCCTTCAGCAAATGCGTCCAGGTCAGAAACCCACCGTCAGCCTGTCAAAGGGGCTTCAAGGCTGCGCAAATCCTCAGTCCAAATTGCAAGCCTTCAGCGTGTAAACACCAGCACCGGTTGGCACAGCAACAAACCAAGGCCAACCTACAGTTTCAGGGATGACAATAGGCCTGGCAGACAGCCTAAGCCAGATGGAGATAAGGAAAGATGTTGGAGTGGAGATGAATCAGAACTTGCAATAAGCCGATATGGCAAAAGAGCAGAGGGAGCTGGAGGGATGCCAGAAAATTTGGAGGCAAGCCTATTTCGCAGAACAAACGGGATGAGCAGGTCACAAGAGATAAGAGGTGAGAAAGACCATCCTGGCAGAGAGGCATGCTCGAATAACACAGAGGATAAATCCAGCCAAGAAAGTTATGAATTGCAACTGGTGCCGATGACATTTAAGAAAGTATTACAGTCATCCAGCCACCTCGGGTGGTCTCAGATGATGCAGATGAAAGAGGAGGCAAGATCATCAGGACACTTTGGTAAGAGCGCTAAAGACAAACAGATAGGACGTGAAAACTCACCTACTCAGAAGGTCAGAAGAAAAATCGCCAGAACTCCCATTTCCCAGGGGGACAAGAGAATTATCTTTGAACCAAAAGAAAATGGCACCAAAATTGTTATGATGGCAAGTGTATTTAGTATTTTCCAACTTAATGGACATTTGTGTCATTGAGTTAATAAATTTTTCATATATTTGCAAAGAGTCTTTGAGCTTGAATTCCATAGCTTTCAGAATTTTCCCTGCTCATCCCTGAACGTCTTCCATAGGCAGCCATCTACCATATGTACTCAAATAATTTGACTAAGAAAAGGCGATAAAATCGAAAGAACTTTAAATGAGTCTATTCATGGCTATTTCCACCATGTGTTATACATAAAAAAGTTCATTTCTATTTACCATAACAAGGTTTCTACTTCGTCTACATCTTATCAACACGCCAAACGGGAGTCGAACCATGACAATGTAGCACGTAAGCTCGACACGTTGACCACTAATCCACATTGCCACGAGTGAAGATGTGCATTTCGAGGAAGGTCAGGCATTTTCCATATCACCTTCTGTGTTGGGAATGTCGATAAGGCAAACTTATTTTTACTATAACAATCGACGACATTACTTTTTCCCTTATTGAGTAGGTTTTCGAGACTATCAGTTAATCATACATATGAGGTGCGTTCACCCTATTTTGAGATTACACGCTGCACTGTTGGGGTGTTGATAAGACTTAGGCGAGGTCGAAACTGCAGTCCACTGTTGAGGAGAACAGCTATTGGGAAAGCAAGACTATGTGGAAGCATCAGTTCTACTCATATAATTGTGGGACAATTCAACTACCAGTCCTTCCTCTTCTTAAACGAAATGGGATGAACACAACTCATATATCTGATTTAATGGTAGTCTCGAAAACCGAATAGATAGGTTACACGACTAGCATTTAATATGATGATGAAAGACTACTAATTGTATTGTCCCGCAATAACATTAGTTGACTTGACGATGCCATTAAAGCTCACTAGGCCCTGCTCCGCAGACGGTATTCTCATTCAAAATCAATTGCAGATAAGAACTCGCCTGAGTCGCTTCAGCCTCTCCGACAGGAATCGAACCAGATTAGGGCAGTGGATACTTCCGACATGTTATTACTGCGCCACCCTGTTTTAGAGAGTCAGAAGAAAGCCAGGACTATCCTATATCACTTCTATAATTGAAGTATTTTACACTACATTAAAACACTCTTATTGTATTCC